TCGAACCTGGACAACGCAGTCCAGTGATCAACAGCATGAGCATCGATCTACGCAATTGGGATACCATGACACCTGTCAACCAAGTCAGCGAGCCTGACCACCGTTCTCGTCAGTCGCCTCTTGAGACAAGCATGGGTTGCTGAAGACCAGTTTTAACACGGATCTAGTACTCCTGTCCAGTTCCATTATGCGCATCAAGCTACGAGTTCGTGATTAACCTGATAACATAGAGACGCTTCCCAAGTTTCACACATGGAACAAATCACTATGTTTTTTAACTAGACAGAACAATGGTTGGTAGGGTACCTTTAAGCAAAGTGTAGTATTGTTTGTTTTATTCATATTTGATTGTCCGAAGAGGACAAAGGGACTGGGCACAAAAGCACCATTAATCGCCGTCTCCCTGTGATATTGTTCAATATTACAACCACTCCATACCTGAATCTATCAATCCTGGGATTATTAAGTTGATAGTGTACATTTAAGTAGAGGGAGTCACGACATGACGTCACGACATGACAGGAATGAGTATACTCAAGGAGCACTTCGTGATGACGAAGTCACAACGAGCTTCTTGATTTACGGTACATTTTCCGTGACCTATAGTTTTCATAATTTGCAGAGACTTTTTTCAATGTCAGTGGATAAATATTTATTTCAGACTTGTTTATTTATTTATCTTTATTCATTTTAACTTTAATACATTTATTTATTTTTTAAGGGGGGGAGGGGGGATATTAGTTCTGTGTAATAAGAGGTATCATGATAATCTGCGATAGGCTGTGAAGTAGTATGAGGACACATAAGGAACCGTAGCTCGTCTGATATGCCGCAGTTAGTCGTTTCGAGTTGCGTCCCTTAGCAGAATCAGGATAATGATTCGAATCTCCAACTCCTCTATATTCTAACCCTCGGTCACTTGGGACAATGTCCCCCACTCGTAGGCTTCACAAATGTATCTCCATCTGCAACACGTTCAGCTTTTCAATACATCATGTAACTGTAAAGCGTTCGCTTGTCAAGCTTAGGCCGGGTTCGAATCCCCAAAAGCTACAATAAGTGAAATCCATTTAAGATCTCCAGCAGCCTGTATTGCTCGAAAGAAGCTGAAAACGTGTTTAACCTCCACTCTAAGCAGTGAATGTAGCTAAAAAGTAAAAAGGCAAGTGAACTGAATCTATATAGATGTAATGTGATCAATTTCAGAGTTCAAATGAAAGTTTTTAAATCACATGACCCATGAGACTTTCCACATATTTGTCCGTGTTTTCCATCTCCTGCCCGTCCTGAATTTGCATAATATATAGCATTTTCTTATCTCAATTTCTTCTGCTGTGGAATTTTATTAACTGATGTGACAAACAGAATACTGATACCCATACAGACACCTTCTCCATCTACATTTACAGAAAAAAATGTTTTCGAAGAAAAAAGGAAACTGTATTAATTAATCTAAAGACTATTACCAAGAGATCTATATTTCAAAATTCCATAAAATAAGTTACACAATAAGAGAATACATTTTTATATTTATTTATTTATTGCTTTCGCCTGCTGGCTGAGGTTGGAAATACAAAACAAAACACTAGAATTTCCTAATCAGCTTCCAAAACAAACCCATTTTGGGCATGGCCACAATGCCTACGTCGTAGTCCGGGGTCCCGTTTCACAGACCGTCGAACCTCCTATACTGTAACATAGACTTACGACAGTCGTAACGCTAGACTGTCGTACCTCCTATACTGTAACATAGACTTACGACAGTCGTAGCGCTTGACCGTCGTACCTCCCAAACTGTAACATAGACTTACCCTGTTTGTTCCCGTCGTATGTCCTATAGTAACATAGAAAACAGCACTGGAAACGGGTCATCTGTAAACTTGACATTGTGAATAATTAAACAGCAATGTAACAATCGGTAATTGTTTTGTTTAACCTCCTATTTATCCTGTTGATAGTGCTAGAAAACAGCACTGGAAACCTGTAAACTTGACTGTGAATAATTAAAACAGCAATTAACAATCGGTCAGGAATTGTTTTGTTATGACTGATATCCTGTTTAGGTATGTTGTACCACTTGCTGTGAATTCCATACACTGGATGATCAGGCGTAATCTCAGAGTAAACGCATTTTGACTTATAAGCCCTGCAGTGCGCTTTAACCTTCAGAAGGCGGAAACAAGCAGACTGGGCGCCGGTCCGATCATTGCGGACCGCGTCAAACACTGGAAACCCGTCTTAACACGAGAGAGGGAAATCCACTGCTGCCTGGTTCCCGGGGTCTGCTGCGCTAACGCTTCGTGTGTTTTTACTATATTTCAATTTTCAAATGTTGGCTTAGTCAAGCATTTGTGAGTGAGCATTCCTTCCAGTGATAATTCTGTAAAGATACCACTCTCAGTTAGCTTGCCCTGTACATTCTCAGAACTTCAGCTTTCTGTTAAGTATCCATAATCGCACCAGTTCCCATGGTTACCGACCATAAATTACCACTATCAGAGCACGACTCTGCGTGTGTACCGATATACATGTATTGCAGAATGACATGACTTGCCACGAGGTATTATTGCCAGAATTGGTAATATATGATAAATATAGAACACGACTAGACAGAATGAGATGGTGTGATGTCAACAAATATATTGTAGAAATATAGCACAGTCGGAAATTCCTATTGATGCCTCCCGTTAAAATAAATGTTAAAAAGCATGCACTCTGTGACGTCAGTTGCTGAAAGCAATTTAACACCGTGGTTAGTGGGGGGTTATTTCCGTTTTTGCTTTTGTTTGTTTCGTTCTTTTTGTGGGCAGCGAGCCTTTGGGCTTTTTTATAGCGTACAATTCCTTAGTTTAGATTTATTTACCTTATTTATCAAATTTCGTGGGTGTTGGTACGGGGTGTGGGTGTTTGTGTGTCTGCGGGGAGGGGTGTGTGTGTGTGTGTTTTGTTTGGATGTTTATTAACGTGTGACATCTGAAATATATAGCTCTCAAAAGGATGGTACTCCTGTTGAGGAAACACACCACAATTCGACGCACCAGTGACCAAAATGATATCCGTGACGTACTTAATGATATACGAGGGGCGTCCCAAAAGTAGTCGGCCTCACCTTGAAAATTATACAAATGCAGCTGTTTTTATATTTTATTTTTTCTACATGTTATCTGTCAACCTCAAGCAAATCGCGTTTGCCATGCTCCAGCCTCACGATCCCCATTTTGTTTGACTCTTTATACACCCCCAAAAACGCAAAATCTGCAATAAATGCATAACAAACTTCAGGAAACAAAATATACAAGAAACATTTTGTGTGTTTGAGATAGGCAGAAGTCCTCTAGAATCGAACGTAGATATTAAAGTGCATAAAAATGCAGTTTGAAACTTGTTAAAGAGACCCAAAAGAAGCCCCCACCCGCTCATGATGTTTACTGAAAGAGCTTGATTTGGAGACACTACCCAACCCATTTCAGATGACGTAATCATAAGGACATAATTTATTCTAATGTTTTCACTTATTCATAAATGATGCCAAGGGTTCAAACTAAATACTGAATGGTCAGACAAGTGTCTGCACTCAATATATTTTATATGACATTATCTGAGAGCATACAATTATCCAAGAGGTACAAAATGACAGATCATTTTTCACTTTCTGTGATTTTTATAGAAATATTATACCCCAATGTGTTTCTAAGGCGCCAGGCAAGTGGTCCAGCGAGCTTAAGGTGCCGGGATCGTGCCCACCTGTGACTGGGTGTAAAACCCTGGAGTCAATTTTGACTCTTTCAGTGTTGACCCAACCCCTAGTGTACAGTACACAACACTGTGCACTTAAAAGAACCCACGAATCCGTTGGTAAATGACCAGTTGGTGGCCACATGAATACGTGCAAACACCTAGTTCCGGGTACAGCAACGTGCAGTGAACTTGGACAAAGTACTGTGACCATGTGTCCCAGTCCACCCAGCTGTAAATGGGTACCTCGTAAGGATGGGAAAGCCACATTAACTTCGTGCGACTAAATGGCTGCAAGAGTTGTGTGGTTCCAAGGAAGTTGAGATTGAAAAATACGAGGCAAGTCGGATGGCGACTCGTACCCTTCTCGTGACCATGTTCACGACTGGGCCTTGTCTAAGCGCAAAAGGGCACGGAGATGAAAGTATTCCAGGACTATTTCCAAGGAAAGATAACTCTGAATTTCCAAACATGGCTACTCCTGGAAATTTATAATACAACACGAAAGTCACTTTAAGTTTCTCATGTCCTTAACAAATATCAGTAACAAGATAAGTTTATAATCACGGAAATAATAATGAAGACCGATAATCGCAAAGGAACTATTTGACTCATTACACATTTTACAACGCAAGATTTGATTGGTTTGCCACGAATCTTGGCAATAATGGCGTACTATACAGGTACGAGTCTTCTTGTAGGTCACAGAAAGAGGCGAGTAGTTACGAATGTGCTTCACTTGTAATACTTTCTTTCCTCCGATAATCGAATCTGTCGAAATTTAGGTTGCATTGAACGTATTTTGTATGCGCTATAATATGTCACTGGACATACTTAGTCAGTCAGGACGATGTCACAGGCACAGTAATGTTCGTAGACTAACGCTTAGTCTCTGAATACATGTATATATCATTTTGATAGTAAGAAACAAACCCATTTAAATTAAAAAGGAGCCCCAGGGAGACCAAAGACCAGAGATTCAGAACCATGGTTCAGGGCTTCATTTAGGGACCTTAGAGGGGCTAGGCAGTAGGGAAAATAATATGGCATTGACTGTGAGACAAGGAGGGCTAGGCAGTAGGGGAAAATAATATGGCACTGTGAGACAGACTACATTGCAGAGAGGGCTAGGCAGTAGGGAAAATAATATGGTTCAGGGTAGGGACAGTAGGGAAAATAATATGGTTCAGGGACTGTGAGACAGACTAGACTGTTCAGTTTACCAGGTTTTGTGTCTAAGCTCTGTACCCGCCCCGACAACCTACCTTTACAGCCAATTCAGCTGGGGTTATCTCCTCTTTGTTTTGACGTGAAAGAAGGCCCGGATGTATTGAGACTATAGCTGACACAAAGTTGGCCTTGTTCTTCAGAACACACCTGTGCAGTATAGTGTTACCTCGGACGTCGCAGAGAGTGTAGGCGACCTCTGGTGGCATGGTGCTCAGGTCATGAATCTGACAAAGAGATTTATTCATTAAGAACTTCAGCTTAGAAAAATACCGATTTGGTTTCAGACTTGGCGGAAAACATCCATTTTATATCAGTGCACATTATGCTTAGTAGTCTTCTTGGCAATATTACTATGGTATAAAAGAGAACGCAAGACACAATGAAATGTAGATAATGGACTCAACCATTTGAATACGAGAAATCTGTAATTTACTGAGAAAGTGCAATCCTATATATGTATGTTACATTTGACCACTTTTTAAAAGGCACTGTGTACCCTATTTAAGAGTGAGTGAGTTCGGTTTTACGCCGCTTTTAGCAATGTTCTAGCAATATCACGGCGGGGAACACCGGAAATGGGCTTCACACATTGTACCCATGTGGGGAATCGAACCCGGGCCTTCGGCGTGACGAGCCAACGCTTTAACTACTAGGCTACCCCACCGCCCCACCCTATTTAAGACTATTTGTTTGTTGTTCAACGCTGCCTTCGGCAATAATCCTGACCCATAGCGGCGGTGTATAAATACGCGAGTCTGGACTGGACAATTCAGTTATCAACATCAAGAGCATCGTTCTACGCAATTGTGCACACCGCGTGTAAAACAGCATATCCACTGTCCAGATTATGGCTAGAGTTTAGATCCTTTTCAAGAACCGTGTCTTTCGAGTCGCTCTAATCCGGTCACAGACTCACAGGCGTAAATACCTCAGGTTGACATGAATCTAATATTGGGAACACTTAAAGACTTAAAGTTCTCAGAGCGCGAGGGCTAATTATCTCTCTATTGTTGGACTATGCCATGTGTGTCTGTTTTATTCGTGGAATATGTTCATCTATAGTTTCGGCTTGATTTGCAACAGTCAGCAGTAGGTTGAGGAATGGCGTGTTTGGGGTCATGCAAGGGGCTATTGTACGACCACGTCATTTGAAGCAGTTCCATGTTTAGCCCTGTTGTAATCGTGAATTATGTATGACTGTTTAAAATGTCTGCTCAACGAGAAGTCGCCAGCAGCAGCAATGGCGTAAATCCTGCTGGGTCCACGGTCAGGTGTTCCATCTGTGGTTGTTGGTGGTCCATAGTTTTATTACATGTGTCGTCATGTCATAGTCTTGTCTCACTTGCTCAAAGCGCGTTAACGAAGTGAGAATGAAGTCGTTTCGAATGAGTGAGTGAGTGTAGTTTTACGCCGCACTCAGCAATATTCCAGCTATATCGCGGCGTTCTGTAAATAATCGAGCCTGGATCTGACAATCCAGTGTGCAACAGCGTGAGCATCGATCTACGCAGTTGGGATACGATGACGTGTCAACCGAGTCAGTGAGCCTGACCACCCGATCCCGTTAGTCGCCTCTTACGACAGGCATGGGTTGCTGAAGATAAATTCTAACTCGCATCTTCACGGGATGGCTATGTACTATGTACCTAATGTTCCAATTGGGTAGGATATCTACGGTGTTATTGCAACACGTACACAGTGTTTGTGACTTGTGAGTCACAATCAAAACACTTTTCTAAATATTAAGCTGTTTTTAGGAAAATATTTTACCAAAGCATCAGGTGTGTACTTTCCTTTGCACGTCAGTTTAAACAGAATTTTAGGGGCGGTGGGGTAGCCCCGTGGTTAAAGCGTAAGCACGTCACACTGAAGATCCGGGTTCGATTCCTCACATGGGTACAATGGATGAAGCCCATTTCTGGTGTCCCCCGCCCTGATATTGCTGGAACACTGCTAAAAGCGGCGTAAAACCAAACTCACTCACTCACTTAAGAAGAATTTTGCCCTATTGTCTTTTTATATCAAATCTAACTTAGACCTTCACGGGTATTTGAGTATGTACGCATTGTATATCCAGTGAATACTAAATAATGTGTTCACCTATACACAATAACACTAAAACTGATCTGCTTACCAAATCCTCCTGTCGGCCTCTGTCAATACATTGCACCAGTGCATCGTACGTGGAGTTTTGTGTGCACACAGTGTGTAAAACAGCATATCCACTGTCCAGATGGCTAGAGTTTTGCTCCTTTTCAAAAACCTTGTCTTTCGTGCTGCTCTTTGTGGGATTCACACCTGTGTACACAGCTTTATTCATGGTCATGTAGCCACCGTCGACATCCTCAACTTTGTCAGGAAAAGGTTTAGAGTTACCTCCCCTTTGTTTTGTTTCTGACGTTGGTTGAGGCATGTTATTGGTATCCGTATGCCATGTTAGAACTTTATTTTTTCGAGATTCGGATTTCGCCTTTGGTTTGCGGGAAAATATACTGCCGAATGTCTTCTGCTTCTTGGAACTGGTAGAACCGACTCCAGCAGCTTCAAGGATGTTGTCGACAGATTGAGCTCGTCGACATGTTTTCTTCCAACCTTTGGCTTGGCTCGGACCTTGTGAGCGTAGTCCAGCGCTCTGAAAGAAATGGTCATACGGAACTGAATGCATAAATATACTCGTTAATTATATTGGTGTTTGGGAACATTGAACAGAAATCGAGTAATCGGTAGTTCTTGGTGGTGGGGTAGCCTAGCGGTTAAAGCGTTCGCTCGTCACGCCGAGGATTCGGGTTCGATTCCCCACATGGGTACAATGTGTGAAACCCATTTCTGGTGTGCCCCGCCGTGATATTGCTAGAATATTGCTCAAAGCGTCGAGAAACCAAACTTACTCACTCACTCTTGGTCAATGCCAGTACAAAATCATTAAGACACTAGGGTTATAAAAACCCGCAATAATCTCTCAAATTATTTGTTTTCGGCAACGTTTGAATATATGAAAGGATTTCGTGGTTCGACAAGCGAAATGTCAATATTAGATCATATGTGCTTAGATAGTCTGTTTGCAGGGAAAACGTACTGGTGAATTTCACTTTAAAAAAAATGTAAATCGAATACAGTGAAATTAAGATTGCGAATCCTCATAATTTTACCTTGGCAATTTACAAATTAAATCTTAGATTTTTATTCAACTTATGAAAAACTTTGTTTAACAAACGATCATTGTTTCAAATCGCTTATATTGGTTTGTATTACAAGGGGGTAAGCGCAGTAGTTGGAACAGTGAAACAAACGCACGTGCGGTACGTGATGAGCGTTAACTTAGACCAACCCTCCTTGTTCTCGGTGTTTCATTTAATGTGCATACCCCCTTGTAATACAAACCAATAATAGCGATTTGAAACTATGATCGTTTCTTAAACAACTTTTAACCTAAGTTGAATAAAAATCTGAGATTTAAATTTTGAAATGGCAAGGTAAAATTATGAGGATCGTAATCTTAATTTCTCTTTATTTGATTTACATTTTTGTTTAAAGTGAAATTCATCGGTACGTTTTCACCGCAAACAGACTATGATTGGATTAGGCAGTCCATTAACTGACACTATCATCTTTGTTTGTTGCAGTAATATTAAAGCTATATGGCCTCGGTCTCTAAATACTCTGGACCAGACAATCCAATGACTAACATCATCAGCATTTTGGAAACGATGACAAGTGTCAACCAAAGTCTGACTACCCGACCCCGTTAGTCACCTCTTACGACAAGCATGGTTTGCTAAAGACCAATTCTAACTTGGATCTTCACGGGGTATTGACAGCATGAGGGAATACGAAGACATGTTCCAACCAAGTCAGGGAGCTTGACCACTCCATCCCGTTAGTCACCTCTTACGACAAGCATGGGTGCTGAAGACCAATTCTATTTCAATAACTACGCCCTCGGCCATATGCAATCCCATCCCCGACCATTTTTCAAAATGCCGGAGCCGCCATTGAGCTACCTTTATTACACGCATGGTTTGTTGAAGATCAATTCTGAGCCGGATCTTCTCTATGGTGGTGGTCCAGATGTAGTACTTAATGGATGTTTAACAAAGGAAGACTATTACATGATGATATTGAATTACTAACATGCGAGAGCCGCCTCCGTGGTGCAGTGGTTAGAGCGTCCGCCCAGAGAGCGGAAGGTCGTGGGTTCGATCCCCGACCGCGTCATACCAAAAGACGTTAAAATATGGTACTTGTTGGTCCCTGCCTGGCGCTCGGCATTAATGGGTACAACAAGGACTGGTCGGCTCGGAGTCAGTATAATGTGTCTGAGTGGGGTATTCATGCTTCACTGCGGCACGGTAACTCAGTGGGCTAGCACTATAAAACCAGCTTCAGTCTGGGCTAGTACAAGCAGCTGCACATACACATACACACGCATGCATGTCGTAATATTCTCAAGCACGACGTTAAACCCAATTTCACCTCACCTCACCTCACTAACATGCGAGTCATTTGGTGCATCGGTCTATCGGCCAGCAACAATTAAGAGGGAAATAACTCTATTTGTGCAACACCGTGTATGTAAGAGGACATAAAATCAACTATCGTGAACTGTGAACTGCAGTCCGTTTGACTTCATTTGAGACCGATGAATTTCTCACAAACTGCTTACTCAAAACCTAATGACTGCAACAAAACCAAGTTTTGCACAGTCACTAAAAATCGACAGACTCTGATTAAAACGTTGTGTAACAAACGATCATTATTTTGTTGTCACTCGCTGCTTCTACGAGGGGGGACCACTTGGGTTTTGGTGGTGGGTAGGTTAGTGGTTAAAGCGTTTGCTCGTCACACCGAATACCTGGGTTTGATTTCGTGTACATATGTGAAGCCCGTTACTGTTGTCCCCGCCATGATATTGCTTCTCTATGTTGATATTGCTAAAAGTGGCGTAAAACTATACTCACCAATTCATTCAATGTACGATCAAGAATTGTTCACATTTAATGTGGGGCGGTGGGGTAGACTAGTGGGTAAAGTGTTTGCTCATCAAGCAAAAGGTCCGGGTTCGATTCCCTACATGTGCACAATGTGTGAAGCCTACTTCTGGTGACCCCCGGCATAATATTGCCGGAATAGTTCTAGAAACGGCGTAAAGCCTCACTCACTCACATTATGTGTGTTCCATGTCATGTTTTTAATTGGTTGACATAACTTAACGCCATTACCTGCTTTGATTTTGTAGGCTTTGGTTCTTCTTCCATTGCAAATATATCCGAAATTGAATCGTCTATTTTGAAGTCTCGCACAAACGTGTCGATATCTCGATCCAACGAGAGCAGGGGTTCCGACGCTATGCTGGTCACTTCCGGGTCCATTTTTCGTGAGCGCAGAGATCTTATTGTGAGTACGTCTACAACAAATTGACACATGCTATATGTAACATCTATCTGCCAATACCTGATAAAAATTCATAAAGAATGTTTGTTGCTTTTATTCAAGAAACGATGACGACATTCATGTTGCGTGTGTATAGCAAATAGCAAACGGACACCTCTCCTGTCTGTTGAAAGCCACAATCTGTATCAGAGCTATGTGACGGCGGTCCGTAAAAATTCAAATCTGGACCAGATAGTCCAGTGATTGACATCATGAGCATCGACCTACACAGGGCACGATGATACGCCAGCAATGAAGCCGCACGATTTATTAAATCACCTCTTACGACTTATCTTAACCTGGATTTAATCATGGATTATTCAGTATCTCTTTACATTCTACAATACAAATCTGTACATATCGTAATGGTAAGAATAATTATTATTTTAGTATTACTATAAACTATAACTAAACTAAAACTAAACAAAATAGTATACATTTGGACCAAAACATAACAAACGTTATTAAAACGTTACGATGCTGAAAACAGTCACAGAAACACAAGAAAATCAGCTTCCTGTATGAAATACATCACACCAATCCACAATTTCCAGCTGTTTCATTATTTAACACGATCAAACATTGGTGAAATACATTTAGCAAGAGCAATCCAAGGGAGGTAACTCTGTTCAGACAACGCACGCATGTTTGCTTTGAATGATTTTATAGTGTTTTACACACTTTGACAAGTTCAGTTGTCAAAGCCAACTTATAATTAATTTCTGAGTATTTAGTTTCATCTTCATAATTTCATATTAATTTTATGGCGAACTGATTCGCCGACCGCTTTACCAAGAGGTGTAGCAACATTTGCATAAAAGGTACTTAATCTGCTGTTACAAACAGCTAACTATATAAGTATAGCTTTACGCTGCTTTTAGCAATATTGCAGCAATATCTGGGCAAGGGGCACCGGAAATGTCGTATCTCCGGCATGCAGCTGTGCACACACAAACTGTTTTTCAGAAATACATGTTTAGATGAGACTGCTTCTTTAAAATGCAATCATCATTTTGGGGGATTTAAAAAATTGAAATTATTCATGTTGTAGTAAGTTACGGATCTATTTGTAAGTGAAAAATTCCTACCAAAATAATACGTATCTGTAAAAGCCCTTTTATAAAGTTGTTGCTGCAACTTGCACTGAATTGTCCTGGTACAATCAGAACCCGTGAAGATCCGTGTTAGAATTGATCTTCAGGACTGACTGTCTGACTGAATTTGGTTTTACGCCGCTTTTAGCAATATTCCAGCAACATCACGGCGGGGGACACCAGAAATGGGCTTCACAAATTGTACCCATGTGGGGATTCGAACCCGGGTCTTCGGCGTGACGAGCCAACGCTTTAACCACTGGGCTACCCCACCGCCCCTGATCTTCAGTAACCCATGCTTGTCGTAAGAGGCGACTAACGAGATCGGGTGGTCAGGATCACTGACTTAATTGACACATGTCATCGTATCATAATTACGTAGATCGATGCTCATGCTGTTGATCACTGGATTGTGTTGTCCAGACTAAATTATATATAGACCTCCGCCACATAGCTGGAATATTGCTGAGTGCAGCGTTAAACAACCAACCAACCAATCGTACAATGAGTGGAATGATATACTGCTGAACACTGGATTGGGAAATTCCGAATATGATGTCATGCAAGCAGTATCCCACGTTACCAGGCAATTGTATTATATTCAGCTTCATTAAAAGATAATAAAAGGTTTATAAACGTAAGTGCACAATTCATGTACAGTGCCGATGTTCCAAAGTTTCGTAACAATACGACGTATTCCAGTATCGCTCTCAATAAATGAGAAGTATATTTAAAAGGGGTCTTTTCATCGTGCGGATACTGAGGTAGACAAACTCTCAAAAGATGCTTGCAAAATTGATTGTGCTGTCATTTTTATATTTTCTGGCAGATTGTCGTCTTACTTCGATGGATACTATTCGTATGTCCGTCACTAATTAGTTTGGCCCAGATTGGATAATTTACAAATCGCTGAGCTATTGCTGACCAAAACATTAAAGACAAACACTCACCCAATAACGCCTCGGGGTTTCTCTGGACCACGAGCTCCTCTTCGTGGAGGCCAAGGTCAAGGTCGGGCATTTCCATGCTGATCTTAATTCAGGTCACCTGAAAACGGAATTTTTATTATTAGCAGAAGCTGAAATTGTTGTGAAATAGAATTTAGTAGTTTAGTAGCAAATCCGACTTGTGTTAATTTTAAGAAACACAATTTGGTTATTGCTTCAAAACGATAATATTGACATAATATGTATGTGCGTGTGCGGGCATTTCTGTAGAGTTTAATCCCCTCACGATATCTTCACCCGCGAAATGAGCAATTGTTAGAGGTATTTTTGTGTGTTAATTTTGTGTGACTGTATAAAGGACCAGCCTCATGTATATATTCAGCAAGAATGATATTCCGACTCTAATTCCTACACGATATCTTCGTTATCTTCACCCGCGATATGAGCGCTTGTTAGAGGTATTTTTGTGTGTTAATTTTGTGTGACTGTATAAAGGACCAGCCTCATGTATATATTATCAATATATTCCGACTCTCCGTGCACGGAGTACCGCGAACAGAATCTGCCTTTCGGAGGCTGATCAGGAACATGTTTTTTCCGAGTCCGAAAATCCGCACACCCCATGTAAGATCAACTGTTCTGTTCAATTTGCATTGTTTGGGGTTTTGGGGGTGGAGGTTGGGGGTATGGGTTTTGTACTCTCAGGCTCCGGACCAGCGATTGCCATCATTTTCCTAAATGTGGGTGTTAACAGTATTCCAGTTATGGCGTGTCGGCATTTTGGTGGCATGGCAGCCGGCATGTTGCAGGCCTAATCCCATGGTGCTGACAATGATGGAAGCATAACTGGCGCGAATTGAGATTCGAACCCGACTACGCCAGGTTTCAGGCGTTCCCAAGGGACGTAACTCTGTATAGCTAATTGCGGCGCCTGTGTCGTCAGGGCATAATCTAACGTCTAACATCTAATTCAAACTAGACAGCAAGGTGCAATACTTAACGAAAGATACGTAGGGAGATCTTTGCAGGTTAACCAGGGACCCGCATTTATGAGGTTCTGCTGCATAATCCACCACCCGACATCACAATAACAATATCTTGGAACGACCATAAAGCACCATAAGATACTAATTTCAACATCTTTGCAGCAAATTCTTATGGCTTCACTTAATGGACCGATTTGCCTTGATTAACCTTCCACCGCCAACGAAGCAACGATTGACCTGACATGTATTTCCATTCCTATTCACGGACTCGCTAGGAGTCCGAATAAAAGCCGTATTAAAGATGATATGCGCACTGACTTCCTACTAAGTCTAGTTTTATATCAAACAATGTCGGACAATAAGCCCAGATCAAAGGCTTGCAGACTGTATATTACAGTTACGGTAATGCTCATGAAATATATATAACTGCCTTAATGGAGACATTAGACGTTAAGAGCTTTCTATGAACGTGTATGTCGTGCTGCAGGCGAACAAAGTAGACTTCAAGGAGCGATAATGTCCTCTCTATATTATATGAAGGTGGAAACACTTTGCAGTACATTCCAGTATTCTATTGTAATAGCATGTTCAGTAGTCTTGACAATTGTTTCACGGCGTCAATATTGACACGGGGTAGGTAAATGGGATATATATTTCTGGTTTATTCAGTCTAAAAATATGTACATAAATAGATTGAAAAAAAACACAGGGCCAATTTCAATCATACATGTTTCATTAGTACTCCCTGAAGAAATTAATCTATCTATCCATCTATCTATCTATCTACTATCTATCTATCTCTATCTATCTATCTATCTACTATCTATCTATCTATCTATCGAAGGGGCGGTGGGGTAGCCTAGTGGTTAAAGCGTTGGCTTGTCACGCCGAAGACACGGGTTCGAATCCCCACATGGGTACAATGTGTGAAGCCCATTTCTGGTGTCCCCCGCCGTGATGTTGCTGGAATATTGCTAAAAGCGGCGTAAAACCAAACTCAGTCAGTCAGTCAGTCTATCTATGGAAAAACTTATATAGCGCTATATCCAGAAATAAACTGCTCTGCAGCGCTTGAGACTCAGATGGAAAGTTAATTGTTGTATGCTTCACGGAAGAGGATCGAAGAGATCTGACAGGTTGATATCTGGTTATCATCCCTGAAGAAATTAATGAAACAAGTTGGAGTGGCTCTGTGTTGTTGTTTATTTTCAATCTATTTAAATATATCTAACAATCTAATTGTATTCCTGTCAACTTTCAAAAAACTTTATATATAAAAATAAGATTAGTGTTGTCACGGTTTTGTTCAATTGATTGAATTTATTGTAATTCAATTACTGTTGTAGTTAATGAGTTATAAGTGAAATCTTCATAACGAATCTACAATATGCAAATATTGTAAATAAGGTCATGGAATACCATGGTCTACTAATGTGTGAACATTACAGTAACCTATGAAGGAAATATATACCTAGTTATTTTACGAAAGAACCTTCAAAAGACCAGGTATTTTTTAACCAGGTATTTTCAGCTGTTGAACCTACATTTAATGAAAATATTGATTTGTTCATTTATCATGCTCCTAAGAAGGGAAATTCCCTCTGTTGTTGAACACGGTATATACTTCGGGCCTGTGGTCTTCAGTTCGAATTAAAGACAAACTTATTAATAGTTTAGGTTTAAAGTAACTCACGCGTATTTCAGTAATATCTTGATACAGATTTATTTTTTAATCCAAGCGGTTCACGTTGTTCATGGGAGAAATTTGATCAAATCAAAGAACATGGGAATGGTAACAATAGTTCAACGATCAATAGATTAAGTTCGAACAAACCAGCCGCAGATCCTGGAACGTTTAGGGGAAGCAACTCCGGTTTTCAAATTACGACAACTTAAGCCGCAGTTTATTTACACCACTCGTCACGATATGGCTGAAATATTGCCGATGTCAATTTAAATTTTAACTCTCTCACTCACTCACTCACTCACTCACTCACTCATTTACACCACGAACCCTTTAGCCAATCACCCCATCTTTGTATGGAGAACATATGGCTGAAATATTGCCGATGTCAATTTAAATTTTAACTCTCTCACTCTCTCACTCACTCACTCACTATTTACACCACGAACCCTTTAGCCAATCACCCCATCTATGTATGGAGAACATATGGCTGAAATATTGCCGATGTCAATTTAAATTTTAACTCTCTCACTCTCTCACTCACTCACTCACTATTTACTCCACGAACCCTTTAGCCAATCATCCCATCTTTGTATGGAGAACATTTAAGTAACAGGTATTCCTGAATGTAATACATTCAGCTACATGTAGTCAATCCAGAATATATTACTTTTGCTACTCTGACTGGCGCTCAGAATTTATAGTGAGCGAGTGAGTGAGTTTACTTTTACGCCGCACTCAGCAATATTCCAGCTATATGGCGGCGGTCTGTAAATAATCAAGTCTGGACCAGACAATCAGTTGATCAACAGCATGAGCATCGTTCAACGCAATTGGGATACAATGACATGTGTCAACCAAGTCAACGATCCTGATCACCCGATCCCGTTAGTCGCCTCTTACGACAAGCATGGGTTACTGATAATCAATTCTGCCCCGGATCTTCACGGGTCCCATTTCAAGTGAGAAAGGACCGCCTCCGTGGTGTAGTGGTTAGAGTGTCCGCCCGGAGAGCGGAAGGTCGCGGGTTCGATCCCTGACCACGTCATACCAAAAGACGTTAAAATATGGTACTTGTTGGTCCCTGCCTGGCGCTCGGCATTAATGGGTACAACAAGGACTGGTCGGCTCGGAGTCAGAATAATGTGTCTGAGTGGGATATTCATGCTTCACTGCAACATGGTATCTCAGTGGGCTAGCACTATAAAACCAGCTTAAGTCTGGGCTAGTACAAGCAGTCGCACATACACATACACACGCATGCACGTCGTCATATGAGCGAAATATTCTCAAGTACGACGTTAAACCCAATTTCACCTCACCTCACCTCAAGTGAGAAAGAGATTTAAAGGAAATCCAGACTTGTTTCACAAACGAGTTTATGCATTGCAGAAAGGGAAAATAATGTGGTTCGTCAATTGTGAGACAGATTTTGGGCAGGGTGTACTGTCAGTATAGTGTGTCTGGGGTGACCATGATGCACAGTGGCTTCGTATCCCCGTGGGGTAGAACTACGAAGCATTGATTTGGACTAGCACAAGCATGGCGTGTATGTCGCTGACGTGAAAGTGGGCATTGCCGGATCATCCAGAAATCTGAGGCGCCGCAGTTAGCTGCGTGGAGTTGTGTCCCTTGAGCGTGCAAGGGTGAGTGAATGACTTTAGTTTTACGCCGCTTTTAGCAATATTTCAGCGATATCATTGCCGGGGACACCAGAAATGGGCTTCACACGTTGTACCCTGGGCCTAGATTTTCGAAGCTCTCTTAGCGCTAAGATAGTCGTAAGTTAATGTTAATGTATGGCACTTACGACCATCTTAGCGCTAAGAAAGCTTCGAAAATCTGGGCCCTGGTCTTGAGCGTGATGAGCTCCACGGCCCTGAAACTTACGAAACTTACGATCGTGGGGTCGTAGCCACGTTAAATTATGTTTCAAAAATGGGTTTAAAAAATGGGAAACGACTTCATCATTTCGGGCTCTCCTCCCACATTAAACTGAAACGTCGACCATGCCATTGCTGCATTCGGAACTAGTCGTGCAAAGATGGATGGCGACTCGTACCCCTCTCGTGGCCATGTTTACGACTGGACCTTGTCTAAGCCCAAAGGGGCAGGGAGATATTCAAGGACTATTTCCAAGGAAAGATAACTCTGAATTTCCAATCATGGCTACCTCTAGAAATTTATAATACAACACGAAAGTCACTTTAAGTTAGTTTCTTATGTCGTTAACAAATTTTCAGTAACAAAATAATTTCATAATCACGGAAATAATACTGAAAACTAATAACGAAACTTTTAGGCTCATTTCACATTTTACCACGCAAGATTTGATTGGTTTCCCACGATTCTTGGCAATAATGGCGTACTATACAGGTACGAGTCTTCTTGTAGGTCAAGAAGAGGCGAGTAGTTCCGAGCGACGTTATG